GTGTTGGTGAGCTGCCTTCTTGAACTGCTGCAGTTCATGTGGTGTAGGTAGACCCACAATGCCATTAGGGATGAAATTCCAGGATGTTGACCCAACGACAGTTAAGGAATGCCAAAAAATTCCAAGTCAGGATGGTGAGTGGCTTGGAAGGGACTTGCAGGTGTTGGTGTTTCCATGTATCTGCTGCCCTTGTCCTTCGAGATAGCACCTTCCAAACCAAGACTATTTCTATCTAAAGATCCTGCGCAACTTTCTGCAGTGCATTTTGTAGATGGTACGCACTGCTGCTACCTAATGTTGGTGGTGGAGGGAGTGGATGCTTGTGGATGTGGTGCCAGTCGAGTAGGCTGCATTGTATTGGATGGTGTCAAGTTTCTTGAGTTGTTGGAGTTGCACTTGTCCAATGTTCCTCCAGCTCCACACTCTCTTATCTCTGACTCCAGCATTGGCAGTTCTTGCTATCTCTTGAGTATTCTCATACTCCTGATTTGTGCCTCGTAAGTGGTGGAACACAATTGTCACATCTCTTTGCCTTATTTTCAAACCAATTACTAGCCACAAGTTACCTCCAGTTCCATGCACTGGAAGTTTTACTAATAATGTCTTATGAAACTCCATAGCACATTTTGCTATCTAACAAATGCTATTTAAAATAGTAGCTGTGTGTAACTTCCTCAAATGATTTTGTGAAGTCCATAAAGAAGATACCCATGAAGACTCCTCTGTCTACTCTGTCAGTAAACACAAAATATTCAACTACATTGGTCAGATACGACCTATCCTTCACAAATACACACTCTTTGATCAACCCATACTTCTGCAAATGCTCAGTCATTTTGCTCTTAAATTGATTTCCAGTAAATTTCCCACAACTGACATTAAACTTTGTATTTTCTTGGTCTCTCCCTCCCTGTTTTAAATAATAAAGTGACATTTTAAATTTGCCTGAATCTAGAGGATTTTGGAAAGTTGGGATTAATCTCTCCACATGCATGTTCCTTTCCACCTTTGGGCATTACATCAGATCCTAGAGATTTGTCTATTTTATTTACCTTTGTTTTTATTACCACTCTAAATGACATTTCTGCCCTCTGCATTTCCGACTCACTCAGTCAGCACATCTCACCACCTGTCCTGTTCCTGAGCCACCATTACAGCTCGAAGTTATTGGTTGGTTCACCGAGCTGACTGGTTTTCATGCAAACATTTTATCTCCCTTCCAGGTGACATCGTCAGTGCTGTGTAGCCTCCACTGAAGTGCTGTTGTTCTGTCCAGCTCTGAATTTACATGCTGTGGTTTGTCTTGGTGGGCAGTCTTGTAGATTGGGTCTATTTCAACATGTTTGTTAATTGCACTGGTGGTTGAAAACTAGGCCTCCAGGAATTCTCATGCTTGTCTTTGACTTGCTTGTCCTGGCACTGTAACTTTGTCCCAGTTAAATTGATGTCCTTCTATGTCAGAGTGTATTGAAACAAGGTTGTGCCGTTTTGCTGCGAGTTGACGTTCATGTATACTGGTGGTGAGTTTCCTGCCTGCCTGTCCTATGTAGTGTTTCTCGTAGTTGCTGCGTGGTATTTTGTATGTTGCATTTGTCCTGCTCATTGTGGGTTTGGGGTCTTTAGTCTTTGAGAGTATGTGGCAAAGTGTGGCTGTTGGTTTCTATGCTATCCTTATTCCAAGAGATCGTAGGAATCTTGTAGTCAGTTCTGATGTGTTTCTAATATAGGTAGGGCGGCCTGTGTGTTGGGGCGTACAGTGTCTTCTTGGTATTGTTTGTTTGCCAGGCATCGGTGGACGAAGCTGTTAGGATAACCATTGTTTGCACAGACTCTGTTTACGTGTTCCTGTTCGTTTTTGCGCAACTCTGGGTGTTGCAGTGAGCTATCACTCATTTAAACAGCTCTGTTTGTAATTCTGGATTTGGTCTGTGTGTGTAGTCTTTCTGTACACGCTGGTAAGGAATTCACTGTCGTTTGTTTATTCCACCATTATGTCCAGAAACAGGAGTTGATTGTTGTCCTTGTCGTTCCTACTGAACTTGGTCCCGCTGAGTATGCTGTTAATAAGGTGGTGTGTTTCTTCTAACTTTGCTAGTTTAATGATCATGACGGTATCGTCCAATATCTAACCCATAGTCTACGCTGGATCTGGGGGAGGGCTGTGCATTCCAGTCTTTGCATAACAGCTTCTGCTGTAAGCTCCGAATGGGTGAACCCATGGCATTCCATTAATTTGTTCATTTACCTGGCCACTGAAGACGAATATAAATTCAGAGCGGGACAGAACAACAGCACTTCAGCAGAGGTTACACAGCACTGACGATGTCACCTAGAAGGGAGACAAAACATTTGCATGAAAACCAGTCAGCTCGGCGAACCAACCAACAACTCCAATCGCAACCCGAGCTTCAGATCTTTGTTAAAACATTAAACCTTTACAGCTCCTTCAGTCACTTTCACCTCACTAAATTTGTCTCTTTAATGCCCATGGAATGTGCCATTAGATGCTGGGGAATGACCATCAACATGGAGGCCCAGGGAAGCAGTGAGTTTCACTTGCTGGGTAACCACTCTGAATTTGAAGACAGAAGTTAATGTCATTATTTTTATTGCTCCTGCTTCAGGTTTGAAAGTTTTTTTTTTTTTTTTTATAACTTCTATATTCTTTTCTTGGTCTGGAGCGTGTATTACTCTTATTTCCTGTTGTAATGTTACTTTTGCTGCTATTCCCGCTCTTGTATCATTAGATAAATACTTGAAAATCCTCTTCTCCCTTCCTTTGACCCCACTCCTTCTTACCATCTTACCCTTGCAATGTATGAAGATATCCTCTGCCTTTCTACTCGCTGACCCTGAACTATATTTTTCATAAGAAACAATTCAGCTTTGTCACCATACACCTGTTCAATACATGATTTTCTTCCATTGCCTTCACTTCACGCCCACTTCTTTGGCTAATTTGTATATTTCCAGCATTTTATATTTATTTGCAGTCACTAACGGTTTCATTAAAACCCACACCTCTTTATATGAATGGAATTGGTCTGGCTGATTGCAGATTTGGCATCAGACTGCTACAACTGAATAATGGTAATCTTCTTATGCTTTGTGTAATTGAAGGGAAAAATGCTCTACACATGTCGGGCTGAGAATTTAACGCCATGCAGTGTATGAACTATACAAAGGCAACTGGACTTAGAAACCTTAGGAGAGCTTGCGCTAAGATTATTCAGATCCAAATCATCAACGTGATTGACATAGCCTCAGAGTACTTAAAAAGAGCCTGTATAGAACTTATTCTTCTTCTACTCTTCAGAATATAAAGGAATTAAGAGACTTCAAACCTGACGAACTCATTGCTGGGACTGTGATTTAAAGCTCTACTCTATTACAGGAAGCAATTTCACCATTGGAACAAACAGTACCCTTTGTTTTGTTTACACAATGTACAATTACTAACATCATAAATCCTCTAACAACACAGTCTTGTTCATAAAATTATTTGAGGAGGTAATTTAAATTGGTACAGTATTGCACTGAACTGTATGTTCCTTACCACCATTTTGATAAATGTTATTGGTCCTAATGAAAACTGCTTTATTGTCAGATTTACAATGACTCATCTCTCTGAAAATGTTTTCTTTTACACCAAACCATGAAGAGTTTCAGGAGTGTAACTGTCTTAGATCAATAACTTTTCTCTGTATTTTTGAGACACAACTTGTGAATGAAACTTGTTATGTAGTCCCTAAATGTTCGCATTTGTCTCACAGCACTAAATTTTTTACTAGAAGCCCTTTCTAGTGTATGAAGTTTCATTCTTATGGGGAGCAGGAAAAGATACTGAAATTCCAAGTCATTAATTACTGTGGATCGAAACTAGAAGTTTAAAATAATGTCCGCTTCTGACACCTTGCTTTTTTGGACATTCTCCATGTGTTAGTCTGCATAATGATTAGACTGCAGCTGTGGTAGACCTCGTACTTTTCCAAGTACTGTGGTTACACATTATGAAAACACACAGGTTTTCCAGAAGTGGTCAATGGTTAGCAAGAAACTTGGTGAAGTTTCTTCCTTTCTGCAACTGCCTGCCATAGCTCAAAGGCCCTGTGGCCAGTTGTATTCCAGAACTGCTATTCCAGCTCACAGAGGCATATTGTCTATTGTCATTCACACTGAAAAATAAAATGATTGGCCAACACTTTTAAAAAATTAAGTGGGGCTTCCAGGCTTATTCTCAGATCCCAATATCGTGTGGGCAGATCAGTGGGAAGGCCAGCACCACACTTGTTGCACTCCGTGCCCTTTGGCATGAAATAGCCCAATCAGTAGTCTTTAAAGCAGTTGAATATTTTTCCCTTTCATTTTCTCAGGTCCAAGAGGAACAATTCTGCTCATCCTGGTACACGAGATTGCACTGTTCTACTGTCAGTCCCTATGCATGATCCTCTGGGATCAGCTCCTCTGCTACAGCTCCATACACTGTTGGCCAGTACAACATAGGATGTGGCTGATTTTCACCTCCTCCCCAACCACAGAATGAGATACTATATTCATGCACTGACACTAGTGCATTAGAAACATTTAATATTTTTATTTCCAAATTGAAATGAACTAGAATTAACTTCCTGCCCTCAGAATCAACTTATGAATGTCCTTCCAATTTTGTTACAGACATAAAGCAGTAACAGGTTTATAATATAAATAATTTAGTACAACTGCACTCATCTACTAAATTCGGGACTGACAAAGGATGTAATACGAGTTATTATGTTTCTTGGACAAGTAGTTTGATAACGTTTTGTTGGAACACATGACCGAGAAAAGGCTCATGTACCCAATAAACAGTCGTGAAAGATTATCAGTTTTGATTTGTCAAAGGTGTTATGTTAGTTAAAATTGATTAATTAATTAGTTGAGCAAGTATAGCAAAATATAAATTTATCCACTTTATATAGAGGTTATAACGTTCATTTTTACAAAGTAATATGTCATTTCAATTCCACCACAATTGCATTTAATTACTTTTTACTGGTGCACAGTTGTGTAGGCGTATGTGACCCCTGAAGCACAATATTTCCACCTCACAATCATATATATAAAATGGAGTGGCTATCCTCAAGTATTGCCAGGAAAACATTAACAGCATTCAAAGAAAATAATGCAAACCAAAGTTACAGTCAATAATCATGAATCTCAGAGGATCTCAACTGGGGTTTGAATTTGGCTTAAGTTGGTAATCCTGTAAATCAGTACAGTAGTGATAATCTATTTTAGGCTAACCAGATTGGGGATCAACTACAACTTTAGCAGAACAGATTTATATAACAAATATCAAGTGCACCTATATACATATCAGCATAAACACTGTTCAATTTACTTCTTGAATATATCAAATCAAAACTGTGTTTAATAGTTATCAGAACAGAAAAAATGTTAAATTGAAATTTTATGAAATTTATGATAAACATAAATACTCACGAAAGACTGCAGTTAATATTTTATTAGAGTCTCCAATGAAATGAAACATACTTTTATAAAGCTAATTGTTGAATGAATTTATCATTTTAAAATAAAAGATAGCGTGTGAGAAGCACTTAAATTAAGCAACATCTTTAGTTTTTGTTGTATAACACCAAAGGAATGAGGATACAGTGAGGCATTATCATGGGTACCATATGTTCAACCCCAATCATGAAGGGTATCTGGGTAGCTGTTGCTGGTGCAGTTCAGGCCTGTATCCCGTTATCTGATCCCAACCCTTCCGACAGGTCCGGACTATCCATTCATGCTCATCATCATCTGAAAGTACAGACAGACATTTCCTTGTAATTTGTCAGATGAAAATGGAACTTTGCCAGTAAAGTTCAGACTGCAGCAAGCTGCAATTACATTTAAATTGACTCAATCGCTCAGACCCAAACATTTGTATTTTTTGCATGTTCAATCAGGGAAGGTTCCAATAATGCACTCTTTGTTATTTTATGACTTATGATGGGCATCATGTCAGACCACCGCCTCCTTGTTACATCAATTACATCTGCTAACTTGCACTTTTTGTTGGATACACTATTCTGCTCAGGGTGGCCATGTTCTGTCTTATAATAGTGGATGATAAACATATTCCAGCTTCAACAGAACCCTGTAGGATAATTGCAGTGGATTTTATGGCTAATTTGAATCAGTGCAGCTGCAACCTCTTCAGTGGTAACCCATGAAACAAGATGAACTAGCCTATTGTCATGAACAAGGCTTAAATCCTTCCCTGATTGTTCATAATTGGTGACGATGGCCTTAACAGCCACTTGACTAGCCTTTTCACACTCTACCTGGCTGTGTGGCCACCAAATTAAATCCCAGATGCCCAGGCTGATTCCTGCCAGCTGCTTGGAAACTAACTACTTTCTCTTATTCTCCCTCGTCCTGTGACACTGGGTCAAACTCAAGAAACAGATTTTATCACTTTTTAAAGCACAATTAATCCTTGTGGTTTCATTCGTACCAGCTACCAGCTAACTATAATTACCATTTAGCTTAACTGCAATTGTTTGCATTTGGTAATTAAAGCTTAAATACAATTGCCTGCATATTCTCACCTTTTATATAATTTATTCTTTGAGACTGCAGCTACATTTTCTCCTTTCAACATAACACAACTCTATAATCAACTGGAAATTGTTATTTGGCTGATATTTGATCATTGGCAGAATTTCAGTTCTCCTGTTTTATTTTTGTAAAGGAATACAACATTCAATATTTTAATTTATTTTTCAATCATTTGGGTAATGTGTCAAATATATATGCTCTGATATAGCAAGACTTTGAATATAATCATTTTGTATGATTTCCTCGTTAAAGTAATAAAATTTAATATTACAAAGCACATAGTTCATAACATATTGTTCTTCTCCTAATACACTGTTAAGAAGTAGGATTAGCATAAAACAGGCTTTTACTTTCCAATGTAACATTCTGTTCAAATCATCTTATGATTTAACAAGTGGCAGAAAACATTATCGTACTATATGCCAATATTAGAATTTAAAGGTTTACTTTCTAATTTTAATGATTTAGTTTTAGTTTTTACTTAGTTTTAGTGCTGAAATAGTTAGGAGTGTAAAATGGCATTGCCCCTTTACATTTATATCTACCTTCTCTCTAATATTATCAGTATGGTAAAACAGTGATTCATATCTACTGCAAAATATAATATGTTTTCAGTGTTTGGTGCTATGTATTAGATTATGATACAACTTTTGCTAGCAGGTCTGAATTTCTACTCTTGCACCATGACATCTGAATTTTCTCAAAAATCAATCCTGGACTCCCCTCCAATTTGTAATTTATGTGCTCAGATGTAGTTGTTATCACTTGATTCATTTAGAGAAAACAAGTATCTGGTGCAAAAAACAAACAATGTTAAAGCACAGAGACATAATGAAGATCAAAAACTAGACCCTTACAAAAATGGATCTTTCCTGGAACAAAAAAAAGTATGCTGCTAAGGTGGCCTGGTACTTTGAGCAATTTACTTCAGTCTATAATATGAAGTTTCACAGTTTGAGTTTCATAATTTTAGACCACTAAACTTTGTCTGAACACGGATTTGTACTTAGAGTTTCATAGGGAAATAAGTGGAAAACTTATATTATACAGTTGATTGCATCTGAATGGTGCCTATTATTACCATTTAACATGATGGCATTAGCAGAAACCATGAATTTCTTCAGTCAGAGGGTGGTGAATCTGTGGAACTGATTGCTACAGAGGGCCGTGGAGGGCAAGTCATTGGGTCTACTTAAGACAGAGATAAATACATTCTTGAGGAACACAACATGTCAGGCAACATCAGAGGAGTAGGAAAGTCCTCTGATGCTGCCTACCTGCCATGTTCCTCCAGCTCCACACTGTGTTGTCTCTGATTCCAGCAGCTGAAGTTCTTGCTATCTTCAATAAATAGGTTCTTGATTAGTAAGGGGATCAAGAGTTATGGGGTCAAGGCCGGAGAGCGAGGTTGTGAAACATATCAGCGATGATTGAATGGCGGAGAAGACTCGATGGGCCGAATGGCCTAATTCTGCTCCTATAACTTATAGTCTTATGGTTATCATCTGCTCATTCAGAAAATACATTGTGAGCAACAGCAATGTAGAGATAAAAGATCAAGTGAAAAACGTTTAAGGAACACATTACTTACTCCTTGAAGTCTGGGATTACCTTCGACATTTTGGCATACAAACTCCTCTAAATGATGTCAAACACTCAGAATGGCTTTTGAGTGCTAGTCTATTTGCCACATAAAGCTTTTAGGAACTTCCAGTATTTTAACAAGAATTTACAGGTACTATGAATTTATTTGTGGATAATGACCCAGAATTTTCCAGAATGAAGCTTCTCACAACAATCCCTATTAGCTAGACTTGTTCCTACACATTCAGATTTGTTTGTCAGGTTGTTGGAAGTACATACAAGCTGATAACTGTATGTCACGGGCTATAGGACATTTTGAACAATAAAAGATGGAATCAACAGTGTATTTCTTTAACCAATGGGATTTAAGATTGAGAGGTAAACAGGATAATCTGAAAAGGATGGCGAATCAAAGTGAATGAGTTCATGATAAATCATTCTCAAAGAAAGTAAGACAGGCGAACAAAACTTGGATTAAGGGATAGAAAACAAAAGCAAAACGAAAAAAAGAACAGTTCACTAATTGAAGGAATGAGATTCCACATTTCATATAGTTCATTTTCTGAGCATTAGAAGTTGATTGGCTGGCAAACAATCATCAGGTTGTGAAAAAGGTACTTATGCTAATAATTAGTAACCTTCATTTTCCATTGCAATTTTAAAGTACAAATGCAACAGATCCATGAAGCCTACATGGAGTTTAAAAGCAAGATGATGATTCTTGAAATTAAATACACAGCAAGGCAAATTGTCTAGCTATTTGTCACATTTTGCAATTTACATCCCTCCCTCATTACAAGTCCCCAGCCAATTTGCACATTCCTAATAGAACACATCATTCACATGTCATCATACTTTTTCAGAAAATTCTGTGTTAATATGTTTATTCCAGAACATGTATTTCTATTAGCCGTAAAACTTAGATTGGGAATATTCCTCAGACTTTCACTTGTACTTAAAGGTAGACTCATTCTTGAATTAATATCCTACATTTGAAATAAATGTAAAAAAAACCTCTATTTTGATGAGGTTGCTAAATGTCAGAAAACTCCACTCTTTCCTTGTCAAGAACAAATTAAACATAGGACTGCCAAAGGAGGGACTGTTTTACACCCTGTTTATCAGCGAACAAAACATCAGTCTCTACAGAGAACTTTCAAGCACGTGGGTTAAAGGCCGAGGAACCTGTGCATCCTTTAAAACCACTCCCAGACCTAAGAGAGAGACAGCAGCACTTTTTGCTAACCTGTCTGGTCTTTGGAGTCGAGTATACAGCTTCCTGAATGTTTCCTACCATCTGCTTTTGCTAGCTTCAAGTCCTGGCCAGAAGCCTTGGTGTTTCCTGTCCCTTCCTGCAATGTCTACACAAAAGTAGCTCTTGATATGTCCCTTTTATCCCAGCCTTCTTCCTCAGTTCCTCCCGTCTGCAGCTGTTCATTTACTCTTCCTCTACAGCCCTGGCCTTCTGGCCCACACTATCTATCTCAAGGGAACCCAGTTCCTCTGCATATTGGATACCAACTGCTTCCCAATTGTTGTTTTTTCTCTTGAAGGAAGGCTGTTGGCATATATCTTTTGTAACACACCCGTCATAATCGGTTTGACTTTTATAATTTGAGAATAAACTCAAGGCAGTTTGATATACATGAAATCAATTTTTGTGCAGATAAAGCAGAATTGTTTATGAAGCAGCAGCAGATACTTCTGTTCATGAACAGTCAGAAATATCACAGCAGAAAAAACATGCATTTTATTATTTCCAAAAAGTATTCATTCTTGAAGTACATAGATTGTTAATTCCAACTGAACTCACAGTAAGTTTTTTTAAATTCTCCACATAAACAATGGCATTCATTAGACAAATGAAATTATTTTAATTCAGAGGATTATTACATAAACTTTAACATTTTCAATATACTTCAGCATTATTTCATGTCAAACAGCCAAAATGGCACCAAACTTGAAGTATTCTGGCACATTGTTCAAAGTTAATTATTACTGCAAGAAACATGGAGACATAGAGGCGCCTGTGCATTGAAACATAGAAAATAGGAACAGGTGTAGACCGTTCAGCCCTTTCAGTCTGCTCTGCCATTCAATATACTAATGGTTGATCTTCCAACATGGTACACTGTTTCTGCTTTGGTCAAATACCCTTTTATCCCTTTAGCTCTAAGAATTATACGTATGTCCTACTTGAAAACATTCAATGTTTTGACCTAAACAGTTTGCTGTGGCAGAGAATTCCACAGGCTCACCACTCTCTGAGTGAAGAAACAAAGAAATAGCATGGGGAGTTACATGACTGATGCCTGTCAAATAATAGATTAAAGATTAGCACAAAAGAAAAGGAGACACTGGAAATTAGAAATGAAAACAGAAAATTCTGAAAATACTCAGCTCAGGCAGGCAGCATCTGCAGACAGAGAGAGAAAAACAGAATTATGGAGGATTAAGGGATTTAAATTCCGGTGTTAACAAATATTAAAAATTAAAGGTAACTTGAATTTCACTGTGAAAAGGATAAAACTACCAGTTCATAATTCAAATCTTCAGAGTACACTGGTGAAACTTAACAAACGTACCAGCATTACGAAGAAATTCACCATCATAACCGGTGATTACTCTGGTTAATGGATTATAAAAGCCATCACCACAATCATAATGTCCTTCTGGAATTGTCCTAGGTGGATCCAGATTTGTGAGTTGAGATCGACCTTAGCCAAATGCAGAAATATCAAAAGTTTACAACAACATCCACTTAATACGCAAATCTTATGTATAGGATATGGGTGTACACCAGTGGATTCAGCATTAGTGCACTTAAATTTTACACTGGTACACTATAAAATATGGCAGCAAAGCTTGAGTGGATTTTAATTTATTTCCCAAGCTAAATTAACCCTACAACAGTTTTTATTTGAGTTGACATTCTGAATGTCCTTGAAAATCCTGACTGTGAAATGACACGATGCACTGAAAAGATAAAAGCTATATCATGTAATATAGAATACCAGTAATTCTGGTCATACATCAAGAACTAAACTCTTATATAGTAACATCTTATCCACAAACATACTTATTATTTACTCTTTTCTTTGTGAAAAATCCAAAGACTCTGATAACACACCTGCTGGTTTCAATCCATGACATATTTCAGTGTAAAAGCGTCTGTCATAGTGATCACAATACATCCAGTCGTCTCCTTCATATTCCAATCCATCTGCAAATATATAGTTACCCTAAGGGGCAAGTGAAGTTAATCAAGAAGTATCAAGGGTGTAAACCCGAAACATCAACTTTCCTGCTCCTCTGATGCTGCCTGACCTGCTGTGTTCCTCCAGCTCCACATTGTATTGACTCAACTACAGGTTATAAGCATGACACCACAGCTTTCAGAAAGAGTGATGGCATGTAAACGTACTTAATGTGCAAAGATGCTATTTTTATGAGTAATAAATATTAAAATATTTGTAAATCAATTTATGATTGTCACTCCTAACAAATAGCAAAATTCTGGTAATGTTCAAAAATATTCAAGTCAAACCTGTATTACGGCACCTCTGTCCCAGGTGGCGACATATTTGCCTCCATTTGGAAAGTAAAGGGTTCCGTAGCCATGAAACATGCCATCTTTCATTCCTCCCTCATATCTTGTTTCTGTTGGCAGGGTATACACCCCTTTGCCCTCCATCCTGAGAAAAATGGAGATAAAAATAGGATGCAGAAAAAAGAAAGGTTGCATCGTTACAGCAAAAGCAAAACACCACAGAGGCTGGAGATCTGAAAGAAAAACTGAAAGTGCTGGAGAAACTCGCAGATCTGGCAGAATCTGTGGAGACGAAAACAGAGTTATTGTTCTGCGTGTAATATGACTTCTTTGGAAAGTTGCATAATTATTGGTTGGCTATCCATTGTTGTAGCAATAATGAATTAGACAGGATAATAGAGTATCCTTCTAGTGTAATATGATTTGTCTTAGATCTTTCAAATTGAATCAATTGTCAATAGAAGTGATAATGAAATATGTAAACAAAAAAGATTTATCCTGTTATCACTCATTTTGGCCATGCACTACTGACACTTTTATCATTTAATCTCTCTGACATCCACCCTAACATAGATCTTCCCCTTAGTCCATTTAATCACTCCTCCCCCTTCATTTACTTAAAATCTATTACATCTCTAACATTTCACAGTTCTGATGAGAGGACATTGAGCTGAAATGTTAAATACTGCCTTGACCTGAATATTTTTATTACTTTCTCTTCTTATACTACATTCCCAGCATTCACAATACTTTCTGTTTGTATAGTTGTGGTCAGTTGCCAGGAAACTCTTTGAAGAAAATTGGAAATTGATTCCACAGACAATTGAGTCTATTCCTCAGGAAGAAGGGCCTGTGAGATTCTATAGAAAAGCAGGTTTTGGATCAACCAAGAAAGGCCAGCCACGGGTTCAAATAATCGTTTGGTGTTTCCGATATTTGCCAAATCATAAACATAGTAAAAAGAGAAAAAGGGTTGAAAGGCACACAAGCATGACACAAGGTTTGTTAATGTCCCTAATTTTATACAGCGATGAAAGTTTGGTGCAGGCTTAGTAGCATTCATCAGTAGATGTCTTTGGTGCAATTGAGAAATAGTAATTTACGAAGAGAACTTTTAAATAAAGCTAATGACATTCTTTATCAAAACATAAAAATACATTTGTTACTCTTGGTGATTAACAAACTGCCAACAAAACTGTAATCTGAAAAATCACACTTCAAAGCTCCACACGTTGCAACTTTGTTAACCATTAACCTTGGCCAAAAACAAGCATTCTTTCCAGGTTTTCATTAGTAGGAATTTCAGGCCCCTATTGGTAGAAAATTGGTACTGCATCAATCATTTTTAATTTGTGTGACCTTAATTGTTGAAGAGTGCCAGCATCATCAAACAAGACACAAACTTCAATTGCAACAATTAATTTGAAAATGTGAAGAAATATTCATAAAAACATTGTGGATGTGTTCAGGTCTGTACCAAACTCTAAGTGACTATATAAATTGATTTATGTTTGCGGTTTATGATTTAATGTGAACCTAAAATGCTATATGTGAAGAAAAAAAAATCAGAGTTAACGTTTCAGGTTCGGTGACCCTTCCCCAGTTTGGAGGAAGGGTCACTGGACCCGAAACATTAACTCTGATTTTTTCTTCACAGATGCTGCCAGACCTGCTGAGCTTTTCCAGTAACTTCTGTTTTTGTTCCTGATTTGCAGCATCCGCAGATCTTTCAATTTATTTTCTCAAATGCTTTATGCTGGAGATGTAATCTTATAGGGGTCTAAGCAACATGGGTTATGGCAACATGTGTGGAAGAACTTGGCAGCAAGTGCAGTGAAGCCCATTTTGATGGTGGGAATAACTTGCATTATCCATTATGCTTTTAACAAGTGGTGAGATTCTCACTTGGCAGCAGTGAGTTGCCTGTAGTGATTATTGCTTTTATATGCCTTGGTAACAGCTCAACTTACCAAGTTAATATTCACCTTTCTATCTTACCAAACTTACCAAAGAAGCTTAATGTTAGGAAAACTTGACAAAAAAAACCAGAGTGAGATCCTAGCCAATTTAGCTTGTTGATTGCTCCAAACGACCTTGACATTAGAAACGGAACACCAGGCCATTCTTCACAGGTACAGGACACATGCTTCACATGTCCACAGATATTGGCATCCAACTTCCTTCAACCTCTAAGAAGCCTCATGGTACATGTCTGGTTCACTCTATGTAATAGCGTTTTCTCACTCTGAACCGACATGGATAATCACAGCATCCCTAACTTGCATTGCCTTGCCTTTTTGCATTTCACCCTCTCACCAGAGATACCAGGCTGATATTACTGCTGTCTTGCTGTGTCATTTGGCGCAAACACAAAGTCAGGAAGCTTGTCACAGTTATTAGCAGGCCTCAGTCAAGTCAAATGGGGCAGCCTAAGTTCAGGGGTGCCCAGCACAGCATGTCAAGGGCAGCTTTCCCTGTTCAAGGCAGACAGAGTCAGGAACTTCTCCTCATGCTGGATGAGGAGCCGAATAATGGGCAGCACACCACACATCTTGAGTCTTTCTGTCCTATTCTGTTTTCATTATGGAATGAGGCAGACACAGATATTAATGGAGATGGAAGTGAGCGCCAGTGTTATTACTGTGGTGCAGGTGGGGAGATATCCCAAGCGAGTGATTTGGCAGTGCAGAGGGCATGCAGAGCTAGTGGTTGAGGTTCTTGAGAGAGATTGAGTGAAGGAAGATGGCCAGAAATTAGTAAGAGTGGTACAGCATGAGCATTGGTTGGAAGTGGACACTGTAGCAACGATAGAGTGAGCGTGAGGTATTCTGAGAGTAGATGGTGACATTTACTCTGCAGAGTGGAGAAAGACATTGATCTTCCTGTAGTGCTGGGCATTCCTCAAGTCAGTTAAACTAATTTAGCAACCTTGGAGAAGGCTGGCACGTTCTAGTGTGTGGTCCTGAGGGAGGAGGAAATCCTGCATCAGCACCACCCCATTCATCAGGACCTTCCAGGACCCTGCCCACAAAGTGCAGTGCTGTATTCCCTATCTGCCATGTCGGGACAACTATCAGGAACCATGCAAGGCAGTTTCAGACTGACAGTGCTTGTCTTGCTGTACCAAGGGCTTTCAAAGATGGCACAGGTGCAAAGGATGCCAGTCTTTAAGCAGGTATCTGCTGAGTGGTGAGTTGTTCTGGAAACACCATGCCGTAGGCTGAGGTGGAAATTGGACATGAATGGTGCCAGTAAACATGGTGGATAATTAATGAGACAGTTTGGTAAAATACAGTGAAAGAACTCATTAGGTCTCGCATCGACGTACCCTCCAAAAAGACCCGAGGCAACTCAGCCTCAGCCAAAGAAAAGGTAAGATTCAGCCTTTGAACTCATTCTCAGCTGTGAGATGATCTCTTATTTGTTGTAGTGGGCTGAGCAACAGTTCAGTTACTCTTTGAAAACAGTGATTCAAGACAACTCAATTTAATTCTCTTTTTAAAAATTATATTGTTCAGAGTTTTAAGTCTACAGAATATGTTCCATGAAACCTTCTAAATTTAAGTAAAATTATTCTTGGCAGAACATTGATTTGGGGCCAATGTTTCAGCAATAGTATGAGCATACTATGCATTCATTTACAAGTTTAGAAAGTATTAGTCAAAAGATTACTTGCATATCAATACTTAGTACAATCATATGCCATCCAACACTTCACAAAGGCATTAACCAGTTTAGGAAAGGCTTTAGGCCATTTACTTCAAACTAGTGGATGGAGAAGTGATATTGTAATTACATATATATTGAATTATGCACAGGAGGACTAGCCTTTTGCTTTCGACTGGGGTGTTGTGACTGTGCAGAGGCCTTACGTTCATACAGGAATAGAAATCAGATAAATACTATACACAGCAAGTTGCTTGATGAATTTACACTTGAATTGAATTAAATTGAATTGAATTGAATTAGCTTTATTGTCACGTACTCAAATGACTAGTGAAAAGTTTACAGTTGCCATATTACAATGTCATCTTAGGTACAAAGGTAGCTAAGTACAGATAATTATGACAAAGTTCTTAGGAACAAAAAAAAAGTAAAGAAATAAATTCACTTCAGCTCCAATGTCAAGAGAAAAGGTTGCTCTGTGAATAAATCCTGTGTGAGGATTTTTTTTTAACCAGGTGTGAGTACTTTAACGAGAATGCTTATATAGGTTAGGGCAATTAAGTTTTACATTTGTAAAATTACAGAGAGTTTTGACATAGCAACATTTTGAATAATTTATCATAGATCATAGAATCCCTACAGTGTGGAAACAGGCCCTTCGGCCCAACAAGTCCACACTGACCCTCAGAGCATCCCATCCAGACCCATCACCCCCAGCCTAAACATCCCTGGACACTATGGACGATTTAGCATGGCCAATCCACCTAGCCTGCACATCTTTGGAGTGTGGGAGGAAACCAGAGCACCCAGAGGAAACCCGCGCAGACACGGGGAGAATGTGCAAACTCCACACAGACAGTCGCCCAGGGGTGGAATTGAACCCGGGTCCCTGGCACTGTGAGGCAGCAGTGGTAACCACTGAGCCGCCATCACCATCCTGACTCGGAAATATATCACCATTATATCAGTGTTGCTGAATCAAAATCCTGGAGATCCCTCCCTAACAGCATTGTAGGTCTACCTACACCAAATGAAAAGCAGTAGTTCAAGAGGCAGCTCACCACCACCTCTCAACAGCAACTAGGGCTGGGCATTAAATGATGGTCTAGCCAGTGATGCCCACCTCCCAAGAAGTAAAAAAAAGAAATTATCTAAACTAATTGACACAACTTACAGATCAAAAAATTGACAAATTATGTTGCTGAATTGAAGTTGGTAAGAGGATATTGGAATATCTGCCATCAGTGCAGAATACCTTTGTCACATTATTTATGTGAGTATGGAGTAAGGAAATTACAGGGCTGAATTTTACCAAAAATTGCTTAGGGTTAATTTCTAGGAGTTTCATCTTAGTGTGAACTTTAGCTAATGTTTTCCTCATGTTATTTTCTGCATGACACCTCAATAGCTATGAACCATGCCTCTATGGTGCCATGCTCACATTATTTTAACTCTGCAATGACATAATTACTCAACACA